ATATTTTACCCAACAAATGATTTGTAAATGCAACCAGGGGCTGGAAAAGGCAGGTATTGGACTACATTGAAGTAAAAAACAATTGACCTGGTCCTGGAGCCACCCACATTTGTGATTACATAATAAGAACATCTCTTTGCTCTTTGCTCATACAGAGTGCTATGTAAAGCAAAGGAGCCAACTGTTATTCTTCCTTCTTCTAGTCTAGATCCAACAGTATAAAAATAAATTGGAGATTATATCTAAAATACCAAAGGATAATAAAACTTCTTAGGTACTCCATAAATCAAATTATTTCATAAAATCTCATTGTGTTATTACTATTTAATACTGATAATACAATGATATTTTATGATTTGTTTGATATAGTACCCATCCCGTTTTTTTACCATTGGTATATGATGTATTAGGGATGTTGGTACCCAATAGATAAAAAAAGAATAGTACCATACAAATTTTATTTGTATGTAAAGCCATTTATAACTCTACCCCAAATACCATCACCAATCTTGTCTCCAAATATCACCCAAACCGTACTCTCTCCGCTGCTCACACGACCTCCTGCTCTCTAGCTCCCTTGTCTCCTCCTCCCATGCTCGTCTTCATGACTTCTCCAGAGCTTCCCCCATCCTCTGGAACTCTCTACCCCAATTTATCAGACTATAGCCTACTCTGCTCACTTGTAGGTGATCGTTGAAAACCTATCTCTTCAAGGAAGCCTATCCTGCCCTCCGCTAATAATGGAATCTTCTACTCCTCCTACCAGTCCATCCCCCACAGTTACTATGTTTTGTTCCACTAGCCCCTCCCTCTTAGATTGTAGGCTCCAAGGAGCACGGTCCTAACCCTCTTGTATTGAGCTGTATTGTTGCTGTATTGTCTTCCGTTATATTGTAAAGTGCTGAGCAAACTGTTGGCGCTATATAAATCCTGTATAATAATAATATTAATTTGTTTTAAATAGGAGTTTAATTGGTTGGTATCAAAACAGCCTTCGGCACATACATTCTATGTAAGTAAATATTTTTCCTAATAAATACACATTAAATGATGTTGATATTAATATCTGCTTGTTTATTTATAGGTTTTTGCATACATACAACCAATTAACAAACTGAAAAATTATAACTGCATGTACTCAGATGTGCAACATACAGAAAAAAGAAAACAAATAACAATCCAGGATACAAACGCACCCGACTCATTCAGCACCTTCAGAGCTTGAAAGAAGAAAGAAGATGTTGCTAGTTTAATGTTAGTAAATGGGATAGCCCATTCCTAAGATTGGAGACAGGACAATCCCATCATCGTCCTGCACCTAGTGCATCAATCCTGGGTCAGAAGGTTCTAGATTTTTTTTTTGCAATAGGTCCTACTATTATAAACTATTTTAAATTAAGGTAACAGGTTTTCTAGGAGCTGTGAAAATTGTGAAAATTGAAGTTCACCTTTAAGATATTTAGATATGGAACACAGCAACTTTCAATTGTGTGAATACAGTATGTGTGCAGAAAATGACTTCCCATTCAAAGATACAATAAACAGTGCTGTTTTTTACAGTATTAACATTCAGGCAAAGTAACATCGTGGAGAAAATATTATTATGGCAGAAGCTAAAGAACAATATTTTTTTCCTTTTTATTTTAATAAAATATTAATTACTGTGGGAAAGCTGTACTCATAAAGGTGTCCAGCGGTTGCTTGGAGTATGGCTTTCCCCAAGGAATGAATGGGGCTCTACGAGCAGGTACAGTATAAACCTGCAATTTTGGGGAGAAAAGCCATGTGGCTCTGAACAGGAGTGAATAGTAAAGATTGCTGGATCAGGACTGAAGGTTACCTAGTGGGCAGCACTGGGGGTGACTTATTATAGGAAAACTGTACAAAGGTACAGTAATGAGGCAGCTTATGATGTCATCTATTTCTTCTAATAGTAGGTTTGCTCTTACATGATAAACCCAATATCTGCCTTGGATGCAAGCAGAAACCAGTTCATACATTCTGAAACCAACAAAGCATCTGTCAAGATCACTATAACACTTTTCATTATTTACTAAATTAGGTTACATATGTGCAATTTCCAGGGCATTCAGTATCAGAAAACAATAGATAGGTACTGATCCTTGTGTTCACGACAGAGATTAATATTCATAGAAATATGTGTTAAATTGTCATGTTCAGTATATCTGACTGTGTTTATGCGTTTATATAACCATATAATCTTGCAGTATTGCTTTTTGATTTGCTGAACCCTGGTCTCTTTATTCCTAAACATTCATTAAAGGAACTGTCCTCATCAATTCATTCATTTATACCAGATTTGTTTGATGTGCAAATACAATTCATTGCATAGAAGACATTTTAATGAACACTTATCCTAATACAGTTATTAGAATTTTTATCAAGTATACATGTAATGTGTGTTGACGTAATAGGAGTTGGCAATACATGAGTTAGGCTTCATATTTAAGTCTGATTCTCAGGTGGCCATCTCTATACATTTAGCCTCTTTGGGTAAATATGAATTGGGTCCGTTGGAGAACAGCTGGAAAGCACAATGCACAGAACAAGGGAACATATGGTTATTATGTACAGTACATACCAATATGCTGCATAGCAGTATGCACGTCATGAATACAGGATAACAGAATTATGCTTTATAAATCAGTGAGGCATGGGCTTGTAAGGGTTTCAATGCATCATTGCTGTAATAATTTGGAAATAGGGCTGATATAATATTGTCCTGCTATTATTAAGTTATCATTGTAGATTTATGCCTCCTGAGATCATATAAGCATCACTGATGCCTTGTCCCACTGCTGTATTCTCTGTTTGCTATGCCATATGTCTGCCCAATTGACACTATTGCTCTTCTTACAGTTTGCATATTGCTATATCTAAATAAATGCCTCAGGCTTTAGCATATGATTTCTCAAAGTATATGGAATTCATTAATCACTATGTATGTTTAACAATTACCCTTTTAATTGTATAATAAGATACCCCTTGGGGTTAATTCACTAAAGGCAAATATACTGTTTACTTTGCAAGGGAAGTTGCATTTTGCAAGGGAATTTGCTCCAGAGCTTAAAGAATGAGATGACGCTCTTAGCTTCACCACATTCACTAAACTTTCCTTGCCAAGTTAGCAGCCTATTTGCCTTCAGTAAATCAACCTCCTGTATCACTTCTTTTCAGAGGTATAGCTATTACCTTCAGGTCCCCAATGCAGAAAACAATGAAGGGCCCTCCTGACCCATTGGCCCTGGGTCCCTTCCCATTAGTCCCAGGGCCCTTTCCTCTGGTCCTGGGCATGCTGGGGGTTATTATTGCAATCACTGACACTAATGTTGGATACTATTATACTACAACATCTTCAATGTGAGTTGCAATCTGCTAAAAAAATGCAGGGGCACTGAGGTGTGAAACGCACTGATATTGTGTGACCCTCTGGAAGTGTTGAGGGCTGTACTTGGGGCTCTCAGAAATTGACCACCACTAGTGCTGAGCTCAGGCATGTTCAAACAGGAACCTGCACCTGCCTGAGCTATCCCTCTAAATGCTGTCACTGCAGACCCCCAATCATATGCAATGGAAACATTGCCCTGCAGCCACATATACAGTATATCCGCCCCTTGAACACGTATGGCTTCAGGGTGGGGCATGCCTATGATTTGCTGTCTGCAGTGATTGACAAGTTGGCGAGACAGCTCAGGATGGTTTGAACTCATATCTGAACACATCAGTGCTCATCCCTGACCACCACTGCTGTAAAAGATAGGGAAGTTTAGTTCTGCTTTAAGATTTAAAGGGTCACAGTAGGTGGAAAGTGGTTAAAAACTCCTCCATGTTACACCTGGTGACCCCGATCCCCTTTCACACCTGGTGACTCCAATCTTCTGCACACCTAGTAACACTGATCCCCTGTCACACCCGGTGACCTTGATCCCCTGTCACACCCGGTGACCCTAATCCCCTGTCCATTCCAATGACCCCAATCCACTCACACCCGGTGACCCCAATCCTCTGTCATACTTGGTGACTCTGATCCCCTGTCACACTTGGTGACTCTGATCCCCTGTCACAACCTGGTGACCCTAATCCTCTGTGTTACACCCATTGACCCTGATTCCCTTTGCTGGGGACATTTACCTGGCGGTATGAAGAGAATCGCTCACACACTGCCCTTCCTCATCCCGATCCTGCTGGCTCCTCACCTGGACTGCAGTGCTCAGCACAGCTCCAGCCGGCTCCTGGTGAAGTGGGCAGTCTAGGGGCTCCGCACATCCTTCTTCACTATCCTCCTCAGAAAAATCTGAGGCTCCAAACCCCAAAGGGGTCCCTTCACTTCTACTCTCCCACCCTCAAGCACCAGACTCCTGCTCAGATGCAGCTCCCCTCTGCTCCTGGCTGGGTATCACTTTATCTGTCAGCTCGGTGCAAAGTCACCTCCTACCTGGAGATCAGCCCCCTCACCTTCAGCTGAATAGGATGATCAAATGGTCAGTGCTCCAACAGGCCCCCTTCCAGCCTTTTGGAGCCTCCAAAATGCTGGAACTTCAGGGCCTGGTTGCAAGTGCAACCTTTGGGACCCTGGTAGTTTCACCACTGCTTCTCCTCTCAGGGTAGTGTGGAATGATCAACAAAGTGGTACTGCATGCTGACATCTTTGAATGCCCAGTAATTCTTCTAAGTGTATCCACTCTCAGGCAGGAATGCTTGCCAAATAAATTGGAATAGATACCTGATAGATAGTAAATCTGACCTACACAGGTAGCAGGGTGAGTCTCAGTTTCCAAGCTTCAATTCATTATAGCTTGTGTTTGCCTTTCTGAGGGTTTTTGGTATTGGTATTTTGGTCCCATAATTAGAGATGAGCGAATTATTCAAAAATTTGATTCGACTGATTCGGCGAATTCGTGAAAAAATTTCGATTCGAGTCGAATATATTCGCTGCGAATTTAACTTATAAAAGGGTGTTTCTAGGCTTCAGAGAGCCTTTATATTACTGCAGAACACTGTACCTTTAATTTAAATGCCCTTGGAGTCTGCTGGGGAAGAGAAATAATACTGACAGTCAGTATGACATGCAGATGAGTGCCGTCGATCTTAGAATCACCGCACACTTCACTCATTTGGCCAGTCACGGGGCCAAAACCAGAGTGTGGAGCCACAGTGTGGCGGTGGAGGCAGCAGCAATGAGAGGCCATACAGCACCCTATGACAAAAATGGAAACCACCAGCAGTGTGAGGAGACCTGAAAGTGGCACATGGCAGAGTGTGGCGATGGAGACAGCAGCAATGGGAGGCCGTACAGGGACCCATGACACACTCTGGACATGGCAGCAGCATGAGGAGGTGGTACAGGGGCCCATGACAGATTACGGGCCTGGCAGCAGCATGAGGAGTTGGTATGGGGGCCCATGGCAGATTACGGGCCTGGCAGCAGCAATGGGAGGCCGTACAGGGACCCATGACACACTCTGGACCTGGCAGCAGCATGAGGAGGCGGTACAGGGGCCCATGACAGATTGCGGGCCTGGCAGCAGCATGAGGAGTCGGTACGGGGGCCCATGACACACTCTGGACCTGGCAGCAGCATGAGGAGGCAGTACAGGGGCGCATGACAGATTACGAGCCTGGCAGCAGCAACTTGGACAGGAGGACGTTCAGCTTCTGCACCGTCGGGTGCGTGCTCGCAAACTGTTGTCTCTTGGAAACGGATATCAAGAAAGACTGCTGACGGAAACAGTGAAGAGGAGTAGCAGGAGAAGGAGCATCTGAACGAGCGGAATATGCCAACAAGCGACAACAGGGGCCCATGACAGATTACGGGCCTGGCAGCAGCATGAGGAGTCGGTACGGGGGCCCATGGCAGATTAGGGGCCTGGCAGCAGCTATAGGAGGCCCATAATCTGCCAGCACCCTATGACAAAAAATAGAACACACCAGCAGTGTGAGGAGACCTGAAAGTGGCACATGGCAGAGTGTGGCGATGGAGACAGCAGCAATGGGAGGCCGTGCAGGGACCCATGAGAGACTCTGGACCTGGCAGCAGCATGAGGAGGCGGTATAGGGGCCCATGGCAGATTAGGGGCCTGGCAGCAGCTATGGGAGGCCCGTAATCTGCCAGCACCCTATGACAAAAAAAAAATGGAACACACCAGCAGTGTGAGGAGACCTGAAAGTGGGACATGGCATGAGACACTGTGGACCTGGCAGCAGCATGAGGAGGCGGTACAGGGGCCCATGGCAGATTAGGGGCCTGGCAGCAGCTATGGGAGGCTCGTAATCTGCCAGCACCCTATGACAAAAAAATGGAACACACCAGCAGTGTGAGGAGACCTGAAAGTGGCACATGGCAGAGTGTGGAGATGGAGACTGGAGCCATGGGCAGCAGCATGAGGATGGCGGTGGGTATAGGGGCCCATGGCAGATTAGGGGCCTGGCAGCAGCTATGGGAGGGCCCGTAATCTGCTGCAGCACAGTTGTCCTATGACAAAGATCAATGGAAACTGCGACAGCAGTGTGAGGAGAACTGAAAGTGGCACATGGCTGAGGACACTGTGACCTACGGCTCAGCAACTGAGGAGGCGGTACGGGGGCCCATGGCAAGATTAACCTGGCACACATAAAGGCCCGTAATCTCCAGCACCCATGACAAAAAATGGAACACCACC